ATAGTCCCTCCAGCGTGTCCTGGGTCTTCCTCTGGGTCTCCTCCCAGTGGGACGTGTCCAGAACACCTCACCATGGAGGTGTCCAGGAGGCATCCTAACCAGATGAACCACCTCAACTGGCTCCTCTCGATGTGGAGGAGCAGCGGCTCTACTCTGAGTCCCTCCCGGATGACTGAGCTTCTCACCCTATCTCTAAGGAACAGCCCAGACACCCTGCGGAGGAAACTCATTTCAGCCACTTGTATCCATGATCTCGTTCTTTGGGTCACTACCCAAAGCTTGTGTCCATAGATGAGGGTAGGCACGTAGACCGACCAGTAAATCAAGATCAACCGTCCATCCATCCAGGTTAATTAACTTTCAGCCATCTTAATTTGGTTGCTTCTAAAGGTAAATGAGTTGTAGACGTACAGTCAGGGTTTCACAAAGTGGCTCATGTGATATTTTGTTAACAAACAGCAGAAACACGATCGTCTTTGCCTTTGGTGATAAAAAGWCCAGAACCTGCAGCTGTCATCAGTTGTTAAAAGAAAAGAAGTTAAAGTGCTGAACGTTCAAAGATTGAATCGATAATCGCTTCATCCCTGATTTCCTCCGGGTCTCTCTGAGTTCCTGATCGTCCTCGAGTGTCTCTCTGCATCTTAGAAAAAGGAGACGAGGATATTTGTTTCTGATTGTGAGCGGAGGGGCAGCGACACTCACGCTCAGGGTGAATGTTGATGAATATGGAGCGCGACCTGAATTTTATTACATGGCTCAAGGCTGCGTTTGACAAATGGCTGCTTCACACAGCTTCATGTTGGACGTGTCAGCCGTGCCGTGTTTTCTGACCTCCAGCGAAACGTTAGCCAACTGCTCTCTGCTTTGTTTTACAGATTTAGAGTTTGCAAATAATGTGGCTGAAGAGTCAAATATAAATTTGAACATGAACAATGGGTTCAATCCGACCGGGAGTATCCAAGACCTGCAACTTTTAAATACATTCTGAAAGTTTTTAACATTCAGTCTCGTTTTAAAGGACGATGATGCCAAACATTATATGAAGGGATTTCCCAGCAGTGCGAAGAGAACAAAAGATTTAAAGGAAATTAAAAGCATTAGAGTTAAAAGCAATGAAAAACTTTGATTTAACAGTGGATTCTATAATATTTATTTGCAGTGACTGCTAAATGGTGTTTTTACGGAYTCATTTTTAAACAAATCTCAATTAAAAAGATCATTTTCCACTGCAGCCTGAATGGGTCACATGTAACAAAATACAACCTAAATCAAGACACGATGCTAAAAGATATAAAGTGGTCATCTCACACTGGAACCARTTTTCCATCTGTAGGCCAACTGTGTCCTAAAAAGGTAAACGAACAAAAAAACTACATCCAAGATTAAAAGTGTGRAATTTGACGATGCAGAGAATAAATTCAGGCTGCAGGAGAGACTCATCAGGTCTTTTCTCTGTGGCAGCAACACTGACTGGCTCAGTTTGTTAGAAAAACATCTCTAACCAAAGAACCAGTCTGCCTTTACACCAGGTCGACTCTCTTAAGACGGATATGAGTGTAGAACTAGAAAAATCTACTTTAAGGAATATATATTACTTTTACCTAAAACTAATACATTTAAAAAAATTGTATTCTATAAAGCTGTTTCTGTATGGAATAAACTGCCTTCATATATTACACAGATTCATAAGGATGATTTTGTTAAAAGACAGCTGAAAGTAACAATTCTTCAGAAGAAAATCTCAATATATTCAGTGTGTGTTAGTTATTTGTTTTTTGTATTAATATTTGTACAATTGAATTATCAATTTTATTGTTATGCCATTGTGATATTATTATTAGTAAGATGTTTTTATGTGGACCCCAAGAAGAAGTCATTACTGRGGTAATAACTAATGGGGATCCATAATAATAAAAAAAAGGGAAAAAGAAATTTAGATTGATTTATTTAAACACGTCCAACGTGTGAAAGAAAAACAGAGGTGACAGAAACACCAGATTATGTTTGGACTACAAACAAAGAACTTTAAACCTCCTATCTGTGGGGAGAAGTTGGTATCCACCCACACTCCCTTGTTATCACCTCTTTAAACCCACTCACACCGCACTCACCATCCATTTCCTGTTACTTCTCTTTGTCCCGCACCTTTCAGTTTCCTCCTGGACACCTCATGCACCCCTCCTCTTCAGCAGCTGTGAGGTTTAAAAAGACTGGTTCTCTCCTTGTCCCTCAGGTGGTCCTGGTTCGGGTAAGGCCCTTCACTGCGAGCGGCTGGAGGAGCGGTTCGGCCTGAGACGCCTCACCCTTGGCGACCTGTTGTGCAGCGAGCTGCAGAGTCACAGCGAGAGGGGGCGCCACCTCCGGGATGCTCTGGAGAGAGGAGAGAGAATTCCTGAGGTGGGTGCGGTGCTTCAAAACTAAACGTCAGGCTGTGAGCGTCATGACGGCGATTCACGTGTCGAGACAAACAGAGTGAAAAAAGACCTAAGATTGTTGAGGAAATGTGTTTCAGCCATCACCTTTATACCAGACTGTTTACAAATGATCCTTTTGGGATGAATAAAGTATTTTTTAATTTGAATTGAATTGAGTTGTCGGCGATTTGGATTGGGATGAACGGCTCGTTGAAGGGATCTGGAGCCGTTTGTTTCGTAGAGCTGTTCGATTTGAACAAGTTACGTCATCACGTAGGACGATAAGTGATGACGTCATCGCATCACATGGGCGGAACCCCTCCTTATCCGTACCCCCTGAGCTGCTGTACTCCCCCATTCTGCCTGATTTATGAGAAAAATCGAAGAGGGAGCGATTTTCCAATCATTTGTTGTAAGGAGTCGTTCAAATGAGTCGTTCAAAAGATTCGTTCAAAAGAGTCATTCAAAAGATTCGTTCAAAAGAGTCGTTCAAAAGAGTTGTTCAAAAGATTCGTTCGAAAGAGTCGTTCAAAAGATTCGTTCAAAAGATTCGTTCAAAAGAGTTGTTCAAAAGATTCGTTCAAAAGAGTCGTTCAGAAGATTCGTTCAAAAGATTCAGATCGTTTGCAAACGTCACAAAGAACAGGTTGTGGACTACTATTGTAAATGACGCAAAATGCATGACCCTCAGCTACTACYACACCAAAACATAGTTAAATCTGCAGAAATGACTGAGTCGTAGCCATTTTTGTGTTCCATAAGATCAGCTCTGGTTGACTCCATCTTTCTGAGAGTTTCAAGAAAATGTGTTATTTTGTGAACACAAGCAAAACAAAGCAGGCACAGGTGAAAGTATTATTTCTCCTTTGATGGCGTGAACGTGATGATTTTCTTTCCCCCCAGGATTACACGAGTGAGCTGGAGATGGAGAAATTCTGGTTAAAACGTGACAAAAGGAACAAACGAGTCAACAAAACAAGAAATGAAAAATTMTTTCATAAAGCTGGAAGCTGGAAGTCCACACCAGGGTTTTGATGCTGACGCGGTGATGTAACACGTCCTCCTGCCTGAAGATTAATTCAGTAAATTGAAGAGGGTGGACTGAGGTGGTAATATCACGCTGTCAGGAGCACTTAAACCGACTTCCACCGCTCACCACGGAGAAACCAGGCTGCCTGAACTTATTTATGAGGAAAGGAAACTCACTTACAGAGTAAACCAGATAAAAGATCCTCGTGTCGAAAACACACAGGCGTGTTCATAACAACAGGGATGCTTCATAACCAGATAAGGAGCTTTAGTCGAAGATAGTAAGGGGTCGATTTATTAAAGATTAGTACGAATAAAACAACAAGTAAATTGGTGCGCASCAAAGATTGTCTGCAGCCGCAACACGTTCAGCCTGCCTTCATGAATCTGCAGAATAAATGATGCTTACTAGATTACACTAAATTCTGGGCGGAGGATAAGCAGATATATTCATTTATGTGATTTATGCGTCGATGTTTTGGTGTCTGATTTTAGTAGATTTGAAAGACGGGTGCTGTCTGTGTTCTGATTTGTTACCTTTCTACTCTGCAGTGACAGTAGAGATAACACTTTAATATAAATAACAAGTAAGCTTAAAAATTAAATAGAAACTCCATCTCGGCTGTGGTCTGTTTTTTTTTCTTCTTCTTTTCGTGTTTTCCAGAACTGTGACGGAAGAGTGTTTTTTCCTTTCTGAATCTTTCTCCAAACGTTAGCAATATTCATGGCTAATGTCATAATTAATGTGATTGTGTTGTTCTTTGAAGTCTTTACGACAGTGAAAATGAGAGCGTATCTCTTTGTATTTCTCTGCTCACATGCACGCTGGACAGCCGCAGTGGGCGGTGCGGGCAGGAGTTCTGTCAGCTGTGGTGCATTATTTGCATGACAAATTATTAAAATATTTTTGTTTTTATCGATGTTTAAGTATCACATTGATATTTAAAATAACTGCACAATGAAAAAGTTAATAAAACAAATAAAAATTAAACTAATAAAACACTTTAAAAATTTATCCAGGCTAGAAAGAGTCGTGCAAGCTCAGGCAGTCCGCACCACCTTTTGTCCAACTGTATAAAACTATTTAATTAAAAACCATATAAGAAGAAGCTTAAAGTTATTAAAATATAAAAAGATATGAAAACATAAACTGTGCRCACGTTTAAGAGCACCAGGTTCAGCTGAACTTTGCAGACATATAGGCTGTGTTCAAATGAACAAATGTTGAACAGGACATAAATAATCCAGTGGACGAAACAATAAAAAGCCTCTCTGAACAGATTTAAGCTCATGTATAAAAACTCCCACACACAGATTTATTTTAACTTTGTCAGCTGTGCAGAACAAATAAAACCCTGCAGTTCGTCTGTCTAAGCTTCTTACGGCGTTAAAGCTGTGAGTTCTCCGACATGAGAACAACTAAAATGTTTTTATGTTTTTTTTTAGATGAGACAGAAAGTGAAAGCAGAGAGAATAATAATCCCACAGAGGGATTACTGAAGTGAAGCTCTTCAGAGGTTTTATCCTGCCATGAGATCAAATGTTGTTCTGTCTGCTGACTGATAAACTAATACCAATAACTGAGAGTTGACTTGTTACCAAACTGTTGCCTGGTAACACAGATGGTGTGCTGTTTGTAATATGGAACATTTCCTCTGTGTGTGTCTGTGTGTGTCTGTGTGTGTCTGTGTGTGTCTGTGTGTGTCTGTGTGTGGGTGATGTCTGTGTTCTAGCATGTGCTACCTTGAAAAGTCCATTTTTCTTAAATATGCCACCTTTGGGATCCACTGTTTTTTAAGTGGCCCAAAGCCCGGGCCCTGTAAGCTCAAATACTGTTTTTAAAAAATGAATAAAAATGAATATAAGTCAATGGAAAGTCCCCATGAAGATAGTGAGGCACGATGTGTGTGTGTGTCTGTGTGTACGTTTTTGCTACCTGGTGAGGAAACATGTTTTTAACCAACAAAGTGAGGACATTTTCTCACTTTTTTGCAGCTAATTAGGTTTRGAGGTATGATGTGAATAAAGTTCTGKTTAGGGTTAAGATTAGGAATAAACTAGTAATGGTTAGTGTTWGGGAAAATGTCTGGGTTAGGCATGAATACAGTTACAAAAATGAAGGGAAGTTAATACAATGTCCTCAGTTTGATGGAAGTACAATGATGTGTGTGTGTGTGTGTGGTGGGGGGGTTGTTTTTGCTACTTGGTGGGGACGATTTTTCAGGAAAATGCAGCCTTGTGGGGACCGGATGCTACTTGTGGGGCCCAAAGCCCAGTCGCCACAAACTTCGG